AAAAAAAAGAAAAGAAAAAGAGAAGAAATTCATTTCCATTTCCTTTTTCTTCACAATTCTTCCTTCTTATCCAATCAGTAAGTTTCTTACGACATTATTATTTCTAATTCATTCACTTTCTCTGTCACTTCTTTCTTTATGTTTTAGCTTTTAATCACTTGGCTTTAATTTTTCTTTTTCGTGATTAATGAAATGATAAACAGATCTAATTTTTGAATCTAGCAGTTTTAAATTTTTTTTTATTTGGTTTGGTTTCTCGTTTGTGTTCGTTTAAAAATTTTGAGATCTGGTAACTTCTCTTTTCTCCAGCTCGTTTGATCGTGAATTCTCGTTTCTCGTTTAGATAAAATTTGTTTCTGTTACTTCTTGTTTGACTTTTTAAAATTTTTTTTGGTTTTATGAAGCTCAATTTGGATCGTCTTGTTATTGGATTCAGATTTCTGTGTTTCGTTCGTTTTAGATTTCAGTTTGTTTTTTCTTTTCCAATTTTAATGGAAACTGTTCGTTGTTTTTTTTTTTGGTTTCTGAATAGGTTGAATTTGTTAATCTTGACCGCGTTCTTTTTTTTCGGAAGGGGGAGCGGGGGGGACTGTACTAAAGCTTCTGGTGTCACAGTGATTTGAATATATATATATATATATATACATATATATTTTCTTCCCCCATTGTTGTTTTCGGATTTCCCCCGTTTGAATTCGGGTGGGGCGGAAGAGTCATGTTGGAGAACCGGTCCTGCGAGTCGTGTTTGGTGTTTGCAAGCTCTTGTCAAAAGGAAAACGAGTGGGCTTACATGTACCATGGGAAGCGTCCGGTGGAATTGGATGAATCCGACGGTTGTTCTCGGGAAACCAAGATGTCTAAGCTCTCTTCTGATGATTCCTCTGGCGACGATAATAATAATAATAATAATAATAACAACAACACGTCTTCCCCACAAGACTCGCGTGACCTCCTCTTGCCTGATTCACGTGAGCAATCCGACGATGATAGTCGGCAATCTGATTCTTCTTGGGATTTGGATTCGTCGCTTAGCCACCACCATCCCATTGGACTAGACAGAACAGATTCGAATAAGCAATCAGAGGACGACAGCCTGTCAGATTCTGTGGAGGACTCACCGGAGGAACAGTCTGAGGAAGATGGTGACGATAATGGCTTTTCAGATAATCCTCAGGAGGAGGAGGAGGAGGATGGTGACCAGAGACATGCTGGTGAGGATTTGGATCAATTAATCCAACCAATTGGGAGAGACATCTCAATCAGTTGTCTAATTAAGTGCTCAAGGTCTGATTATGGTTCCATTGCCTCATTGAACCGGAGTTTTCGGTCCTTAATTAGGAGTGGAGATATCTATAGGTTGAGGAGGGAGACTGGTGTGGTTGAACATTGGGTTTACTTTTCTTGTGACCTCTTCCAGTGGGAAGCATTTGATCCGATTCGACTCAGGTGGATGCATTTGCCAAGGATGCCTCCTAATGAATGTTTCATTTACTCGGACAAGGAATCCTTGGCTGTGGGAACTGAGTTGCTTGTATTTGGAAAGGAGGTAACGTCTCAGGTTATATATAGATATAGTATTTTGACAAACTCATGGACTTCGGGGACCAGTATGAACGCTCCGAGGTGCTTGTTTGGATCAGCTAGTCTTGGTGAGATTGCGATTTTAGCTGGTGGTTGTGATTCTCAGGGAAATATCCTGAGCTCTGCTGAAATGTACAATTCTGAGACTCAGAGGTGGGAGACTCTCCCAAGCATGAATAAGCCAAGGAAGATGTGTAGTGGAGTATTTATGGATAAGAAATTCTATGTAATTGGGGGAACTGGTGGATTGGGAAATGATGCAAGGGTTCTCACTTGTGGTGAGGAGTATGATTTAGAGACAAGAAGGTGGACTGAAATTCCTAACATGTCTCCTGGAAGTAATGCGGCGGCTGGTGAGGCTGAGATGCCTGCAGCAACTGGGGCACCCCCTCTTGTTGCGGTAGTAAATAATGAACTGTATGCTGCTGATCATGCTGACATGGAGGTAAAAAAGTACGATAAGGAGAGTAGAACATGGTTGACTGTTGGAAGATTGCCTGAAAGAGCAGTTTCAATGAATGGTTGGGGTCTTGCATTCAGAGCATGTGGAGATCACCTTATAGTGATTGGTGGACCTAGGAATTTGGGTGAAGGTTTTATAGAGCTCAATTCATGGGTTCCAAGCGAAGGGCCACCGCAATGGCACTTGCTAGCCAGAAAGCAATCGGGTAACTTTGTGTATAATTGTGCTGTAATGGGATGCTGAGAGATGACCTTTGGTGGCATTGTGTGCAGTTGAATGGTGTCGCACTGCCACTGGGGTTTACATGATTGGTTTCTCCTCCAACACAGAATTCTTGCTAATGGTAATTTCCCCTTCTTTCTTTTTTATATCTTTTCCCTTTTGGATGGGGGAGGATGGGGAAGAGTTTCAGATTTTACTCAAGATTCAATAGAATGTTTTATTGATAGGACGTCTTGAGTTTTTATTTCTTTTTCAAACTTCATTCAAAATTTCTTCCATTAAATTTGTGTCTTCCCCCGTTTTCAGTGACATGAGAACTGCAAAGGTTGGTGTCATGTAGCACAGGAATAGGTTTAATAATTTGAAGTACCAACACATTGGTAGGTTGCCATTAGAGTTTGTTGAAGCTTTTTTAAGAACACAGAACTAGTCATATGGGTTTCTTCATCCTTAATTTTCTTGGAATTGTCTTTAAGGGAGGAAATAAGTTCTGGAGGTTGTTATCTTGGATGTTGGCTGATGTACTGATTACATTGATCATTACAATTGATGGGCTATATATTCCCAGAATTTTTCTTATGTACACTTTGGAATTCTTTATTGTTTTTAATTTCTTTTGTTCAGCTGATGGTGTTAGTTTCTCATTTGCACTACTTGCCAATCCATAAGTTGTTTTAATTTCCCCATGTTTTTCTTTAATTATTCTGATGTATTGAACGTGATGATGACTCTTATTCCTTTCAGTTTATTCACAAACACGGGAATTTTACATTGGGTTGTAGATATAAAATTTGTTTCCACTTTGATTCATATATAATTACTAATTGAAAACTTTGATATTCACTCTGCGAATTAAGTATTCAGTCTTGTTTATATGTTCCATTTCTTAAGGCAATACTGAATACAGAAGTGCAAGATAGTTTTTTAAACTTTTAAGAATGCAAGTGTGCAATAAATCGGATTTGAAATATTAAATTATTCCTTTTAAATATCACTCTGCATATAAAGTTGAAAGCATCGGCCAGTCAGCCTGATGTTGTTAATGATAAATATCCATACATGCTTAGGGTTGGACAATTTTCGTATTCTATGTTTCAGTGGATGCTCCAGCCTTGATCTTTACAAGTTTATTGATAGCATGGCCACCGTCTATTTTATGAAATATCTCTTTGCAGTGTTCAGAACATGTTCTGCAATGATGGAATTCTCAGTTTTCATGGTTTTAGGAAGACCACGTATGTGTCAAAGAATATGCCATAAAGTGAATATCAAGGTTTCACTTAGTGTGTGAAACTACGAGTAAACCAGAAATAATAGCATAAGAAACAGTGTGATGTGCCCCTAATATGACATTTTCACCACTGACTGTTGGGGAGGTTGCAAAGGAAGTTTTTCTTTTAAGCCATGTGTCAACAAGATATTATATACATACATACATATATATGTATGTATGTATGTATATATTTGAGGGTATTGTCGAAAAAGTATTCTTCCTTCACATAGACAGGCCCATAGTATCTAACTCTTGACTTTTGTGTGGTTGATGCTGGATATTGGAGGTCACATAGAATTGTCTGGCCTGATGTACATGTACTCTTTCCTTACAGCATGGAGATGCAATGGTTTTTTTTTTTTAAGATTTCAGTTTAGAGAGATAAAGAGAATAACATACTTAAATCTCTCTTGCTTTCTCTCTCTCTCTCTCTCTCTCTCTCTGTGTTTTCTTATTTTATGCTCTATACTGGGGAATAATGGCCTATCTTATTTTTATTAGTTTACTTTGTATATTAGTTTTCTTTATCTTTTTTTCTTTAATTTTTATGAATGTGATTATATATATGTTTAGTTATGTCTTTGGAAACCAGAGAACTTAGATTCGGAAAGTCTTGCAAAAATGTTTTTGCTATACAGTTTGGCCTGTGTTTTTATAACAGTTTCTCTTTTACCATTTTTCTGCTGCTATATTTATATCCAATTCACGAACCGACTTCAATCAGTCAGACGAAATTCTATTAAATTTTCTTGCTCCTGGTGCTGTTGTCTGTGTGCTGACACATACTAAAATCAGTTAGGTGGTCCTGTACCACAAGTTCTACTTTTTCTGTGCAACTCTTTAACGCTTTTGTCATCTATATCATTGGGGATGTTTGGTGTTGTGCCTCAATGGTGTATGGTTTTCATTTTTAATTGGTTGGGAAGAATATAAAAACAATCAGAAATTATACTTTAAAAAGGCTGCCAATTATTTATAGGAATGGAATAGGAATTTTAAGGACATTGCAAGTTTCATTTAGTTATGATTATCATAAGGCCATGTAACTATAGGCTTATGAAGCAAGTATAATTGTCCATTTATTAAAATAACACTACAGCATGATAAATAGGGAAGGCGTAGATATGTTTGGTAAGCCAGAAAAAAGAACCCCTGCTGCAAAGCAAGTTACTATTAAGGACGAGCTTATGTCTGTATGCTTCAGCACACGGGTTCTACTCTTCTTGTCTTTTCTCAGGCTAGAATTTAAACTAGCTGCTGAGTATCTGAAACTATAGAGTTGACAGAGCTTCTTTTTTATTTGATTTGCTGCATCTGGTTTGCCTTGCCCTGTTCAGTAGTGCACCCTTTGAGTATGGTGTGGCGATACTGGTGTTTATCAATTTCCGTGTTGACTTGAAATCCCGTTCTTAGCTCCTCCTCGTTCTTTGTTTCATAGAACTCGCTTTAAAGATTTGAACATTGCATGGGATAATTCTGACGCTCGTATGACTTGATTTTCGGTTGGCATGCCATGTTATAGTATAGTGATTCCATTCCAGGGGTTGCATGCCTTGTGACTCAGTGAATGAATGTATCTTCGGAATTGCTACTACCGTTAGCTAGGGTTGATTAGAGATGTAGTACATATTAGACAGGTTTGGTGAGAGATGCTACAGAAGAATTTCTGGTTCAGTTTGTTTTAATGTTAGAACTCTGTTTGGTATTAATTTTTGTCACTAGCAGCAGCAGTTGTGAACCAGTGGTTAGAAGAACTCGTGGAGTCAATGGCAGGTTAATTATGTGCATTTATTTATTTATTTATTTATTTTGCAATTTACTCTCTCTCTTTCCTGTTGGGTACTGTGGCTGCAACCCTTGGTTTATGCTGGCAAGTTTGACCCCCAGAACTTGGCTGGACCATGTGGGCTCGTAATCTTTGATTGGCTCATGATCATGAAAGCCGTTGGCCTGCCTCAGGACTCAGCAGTCAGGCCTACCACCATCTTTTTCATTATTGGGTAGACCAGGTAAATTTTGCTGTGGAAGAATGGGTTGAGAAAAGAAAAAGAAGAAAATAAATAAATAAATGAAGGTACTGTACTACCCGAGGTGAACGTATCAAAATGTGAAATATGATGAATATGCAAAAGAGAAGTTTGTCTTATAGTGCAACAAAAATACCACAGAACATCAGCTAACACACGTGTCTGATTTGACGGTACAATGCTTAATAATTTACTACGATGACTAAATTCTTGCGACCTATTTAATGAAAAATAGTCATACTAGGCATTTGATTTTTTTTAATTCCAAGATTAAGATTTGAATTTAACTCTTCTAAGTATAAACGGAGATAAATGTATATATTACTGAATAAATATTCGAAATATAGACTATTAAACTCTGTTTTTATGAGTATTATTTTTTTTTAGCTCCAAGTCGAACTTATTTCACTTTTATCTAAAGACCGAATATTTAAATCTAATCTTAAATATAAAGATAAATATATTTATTATTAAGTTAAATGTTCAGGTGATAAAATGTTTATTTTATGAAAAAAAGTGTTTTGAGTTTCAAATCAAATTTCGAATCAAAAGTGGTATGAAAAGTATTGATCATCATGTTTGGATTGAATTCTTTTCTTTTAGAGTAAAAAACCTTCAAAAATCAACATGCAAATGGACAATTTTATCAATTAAGTTCACAATTTAAACCATTTTAAAACTAGGTTTAATCAAAACCCAAATTTGGAAAAAGTGGAAAAGTGCATATATATATATATATATATAATAATAGTCCAAGTGGGTGGTGGGTGGTCCTGGCAGAGGATGCTTGGAAAACGAAATGGTGATCTGGCCACTGAACAAACCCCACAACAAATTCAGATCCATTTCTACTCCACACACCCCCCACATCCCCACCCCTCACCCTCACCCTCCCCACCCCAGCCCCCCCGACCCCCCCCAAAAAAAAAAAGCTCGACTGAGAACAAAATCTTATGCCCACTTTTGTTGCAATGAGGTCTTTACTCACTGCTTCTTGTCATGCTGTAATATTTTTGTTTATGTTGCTTTAGGTACAGGATGGATGGGACCTCTTTTTCACTGCACCTTCTGGGGGAAAAGGCAAGCTATTCCCTGGGGTTAACACCATTGCGTCCAATAATTTGGGTTGTAGGCCGAGGAAATGTCTTTTTCCAACTGCAAAATCCAATCCATTTTTTTTCCCTAGGGGCTGAAATCCGGGCTACCCGGAAGCAACCCAGCCCATTTTCTTGGCTTGGAACAAGCAGGAAATGTCTGGACAGCAAATGGGACTTCCAGGAAATTTCCCTCTTTCAAACCCCAACTTTGTCTTTCAACCTTTTGCACATAAAGAATCCTATCCATTTGCCAAGCCTTTGATCTATTTTGTTTTGTTTCAGGCTGTATTCAGTGGCTGTACTTCAACAAATAAGCATTGACAATTTGACAAAGCTGCCAATGAGCTATGGACCAAGGGTGCATGGCATGGCATCTCCTCAACTATGAGAGTTGGAAAAGGTTAGTAACCAAAGAAGAGTGTCCAGGCTTTTAAGCTTTCTGTTTTCAAATTAATTGCTTGCACCCAAGGGTTGGTGGGACAGTTGTCCTTAACATAGGACAGGCGAAGTGCTATATACATAAAACCATAGCCGACAGGAAGGTATATTCAAATTATAGGCTTCATTTAAAAACAATCTATTTAGCAAATGAAAAGATAAAAATAAAAGTATAATTGTTTTAAATCATAAGTTGGAGTTATTATTTTTTAATCTTTTTAACTTTTATTTTAATTTTTATCTTTTATCACAACCGTTCAATTTTTTCATAACTCATATAATTAGTTCATAACGTGAATCTTATAGTACCTAAACAAGTGTATCCTTAATATCAAATGAGAAAATGACATCTCTAATTAGGGGGAAAAAAAAAACCCAATCATTCTACCAAGTTCTACCTAATTATTTTCATACCCTTTGTACCTTGTCTTATAAGTTTCAAAAGTGGAGCAAAGCTTTGAAAAGTAGTTTCAATTTATTCCTTGATGCAATTGATCATCCCTACACTGTCCAAGGCTTATCACAACCAATATCTGTCTCCATCAACTTTTTCCTTTGCTATTCTTTAGAACTATTTTGGCTATTGCTTGATCAATTCCTTGACCCCAAATCTATTATTAAGATAGGAATCATTAGGAACCCATCAATGTATACTCCGCCAAAACCCTAAAATCCCAATCTTGAGAGATTTATTTTTTTTGTACGTGGTCTCCACTATCTATTATTCTATAAACACATGAGATAAACACCTTGTTTTTCGGGTACAAATCCAACTCAGAATGTCAAATTATAT